ATAAAAATATGCGACTGAACATTGGCAAATCAGTTAAAAATCCCAGCGAATGAGCTTGCTGCATTGGAATTTTTAATTTTGCTCTTGCGTAATGAGAATACGAGACAGAATCCTGAGATAAGTCCTCCGCGAAGGCAGAAAATTCTCGTGTGCTTTGCTTTCATAAATTAATATATCCTCATAAAAATATCAGAAACAATTATAGCTGCTAGTGACGAATTTAATCGTGAATATTCTTCCCCCAAAATGAAGTCATTGATCGCCAGAATGAACAGCTTTTATTTTGCAGCTACTACCTAAATTTGTTTTTAAATGCCTTGAATTTAAATTGACAGCAAACGTGGGAAATAAATTGATGCAAATTAGTAAATTTGGTTTCGGATATCTTCCGCAGTTTTGCACGTAAAGGGCAAAATGTTTTGTTTGTTATTTCATAACTAATATTTTACAAAATGAAACTTATTTTGTAGAGCCCGTGTAAAAAAATTTTATAACAGAAAAGGATTTACTTATCTATTTTAAACTACCTGTCCGGTGGAGTAGCAAGAACTTTTCTCACCCCTCTCAATGCACATCAAAAATCCAATTTATAAATTGTCAAAACAACATATAATAAAATAAATAAAAGCCTCTTGTTAATTTTTGAAATAAAACTTTAATTCAAACTTTTTGAAATGCTATTTTAATCGTTTTTCTTTATTAGCAAAATCGTCGGTAACGTTCTAGAACCTTGTTTCGTTAATACAGTTACTCTTCTTTAAACAATACAGCATTTTAATAGCACGAAATATTCATTTTTGCGTCTTAGTTTGCTCCTTAGTTAATTTGGCTGCTTTCTGTAATCCGGATTCAGAAATGTATGTACATATGTATATGTGTTTATACACGCATATATATACACACGTGCATACATACATATATTTAAGACGCAATAACACGCCGAACAAATACTAATTCAGAAGTCAAACAACAAAAATCAGCATTATATTTTCAAATTGTCACTGAAAATTGAAAATATAACGCTGATTTTTGTTGTTTGACTTCTGAATTAATACATATATTTCTTAATTCGGTCCCGATAACAGAAGAGTACCTCGATTTTTATGGAGGTGTCTACTCTCACAGCAAATACTAAGCATACAGCAATTATAAGGAAAAGTCGAAGTAGAGCGATATTGGGAATTTCGTTTTGGAGACCATATTATAGCATAAACTGCAAAAGTTCCAGAATGGCCGTCCTTTCCATCTCTCTATTGGATCTTCCCAAGCAGTGACAGAGATAAAACTATGAAGTATTTCTCTCTCATTGAGGAAGGTTTAGTAGTAGCAGGGACACTTGTGAACAGGAAAAATTAATTACTGGATGCATCATTAGTAGTTTGTATAGTTGAGTGGCAGCTCCGCCCAAAACCACATCTTCTTGAACTTTCGATAGCTTGGAACCACAGCTTTAGTAATTTCCTTTTGCAAAATTTAAGCTATTGGAGTGTACAAATATAGATTTTCAACAGAAGACTTATATTATGTATGTGTTAGAGTAAAAAAGAATGATAAATATGTTATGGAGTCAAGTATTATTAAAATAACAAAATATCTCAAAATGCAACACATTTTGAAGCACCCTATCTTTATAACTGGTTTATGAGCGTGGAATTTTGTGTAAATATTTTGATGTTCTTAATAATATATTTGCTGTTTTTATTTTCTTTGCCAAATGTTAAAATATTTTAAGTAAAACATCTTTTTTTGTCATCCACATAATATTGTGATATGTACAGCATGCATCTTTATATCTGTATTTTTAGTTGATTTATTTTCTTCGTTATTTAAGATGGGAAGCTAATGTACAGTTAAAAATGACCTATCTTAAACATAACAGAATTATATTTTCTTAAAAAGTAACATTTTATTTATTTACTTTATTCCGTAGCTCTAAAATCAGTGTTTTTTTTTAACATAATTAAAGATAATTTCTAGAGTTTTAGGCGAGAGGCATAGTAGTCGCTCCTTTTAAACTCATTTAGGATTCATAAAATTGGTGAAATATTTTTGAAATTCTCTGACCAATGATTTCGGAGAAAACGTAAACCCAAGGAAGAAATTTACAGTTGTCAGAAATCTACTAAAAGAGAAAATTACAGGGCAAGTATAGATACTACTTAAGAAAAAAATCATGTCAATAAATCATAAGGCTAATTGATTGTTCTGACAGACTGTGAGGGTGACAGACTTGTTGTCCATAACATGGAGGTCTTACTTCCTACCTCCATGGTCCATAACTGGTTACTCCTGTTAGCAAATTTCATGTCTCTGCAGGGATGATGTGCGCAAGTGTCACATCACAGTGAGGATCGCTTCCTTATTTATGTCAATATTTTTGTAATTTAACTGTAATTAGTATTTTCCATTCAAAAGTTTTGATGGCGTAAGGAAGGCGTAGCTAAAAATTGAAACTACTGAAGTCATTTTTATAATACTTGTTCCTCAGTGTACAAACATTTGTCCCTTCAATTGAGTTTCGTGTCACACTTCGACATCTCATGATTCTTTACATCACCAATGATCGATTGGATAGAATGTTTGAATACGATGTTGTTTGAGATTTATTTTATTACTCCGAAGGTTACTATATGTTGTTTGTTTGATGTTTGAATACTTGAAATCAAATCCAAAATAAGGAGCTAGCAGCTAATGTGGTTTACCTTTTGTGTAACGCAGGGTAGTCACTCATGTATGACGTGACTACGAGACAGTACCCTTTTCGTAACGTGAATAGTAGCTAGTTCCCACTTTTTAAGCGGAGAGTTTGTCTTCCATGAAGACACCTCGCCTTTTAGATAGATAACTCCTACATAGTCTTATCGGACGTCAAACTCCGTTGACCTAAGGTCTCGTGTCTAATAGGCCAGGACTTCTTAAACCCTTTTCAGTCGCTACCCCTTTTTATTATTGAACTTTATTTCGCGACTCCAGGTCCCTTGAAAATTTTGTGAGACCCCATAGGCATTGTGCAAATCCGACAGACGCGTGAGTGAAACTAAATTTTTTCACTTGTACTGTAATATACTATTGCAGTTTTAGGTCATTAACTTTAATTTCTAAGTTTAAGATACAGAAAAATGTGAAATTTTTAAATAAGTAATAGACGAAATGACAGCGTCACGTGCAAAACAAGTAAAATGAACGTTTATATTATAAAAAGAATGCTTCGAAACGTTTTCGCTTTTTTCTTTGTCTGTATTGTTTTATCTTTATGTATTTTCAGATACATTGTGTAAAAATCTTTGGTAATTGTAAAATTATTATAATAAGTTAAAGAAATATAAAAACTGCTAAAATTTTGTCGACCCCCTGCTGTAGGTCGCGTTCCAAGGTTTAAGAAACTCTGCCCTAGGCCGAGAAGCATACCACTAAATGAGGTTGCTCGAGAGCTGGAGAGACGATGCTAAAGAGAGCGGTTTTATCAGCAGCTAAATAATAATGAAAAAATAAAATGAAGTATATACATGATAAACTATAGTGACTTTGTAGTAATCCAATAAATCTCAATTAGTCTATCTGCTCCAAAGATAACTGGATCCGTAGAACCTCCACATGAAAAAATGCCTCCCTCTAAAAAGGGGCGACCCGAGACAGTCCGCTTCCCTCTAGCTACGTCACTGCACCTGTGCAGAATAGACGTTTTACATAAAAAAATTCTGCAACTTATTTTAAGAAATCTTCATAACTGGAAGGAGGATTGTGCTGACATCGTTTTAGCTGAGACAATTCTCTAAAATCTGGCAAAAAGTTTATTTATCACTTTCATATTAATATTTTCTCAGGCTCATATCTCACCTCATTACCCTGATCGTGGCTGCTGGTAAGAAGTACTCTTTTAAATACTTAGCTAAGGAAATAAAACCCAGAGTCATTTTTTTAGTACTTTCTCTGTATTACGACGTGTACACAAGTCTACCCTCTGCATCTTTGTAATCAATAAAAAATATACCTGCTAAATTTACTTCAAACAGTTATTTTTGGATTTTTTTACTGGGGGGGGGGGAGAAATCATCTTAAAAAAGTGTGTAAGTTTGATTTTCCTGTAATGCTGGGAATAATAGGAAAAAAAAAAAAAAAAAAAAGCGCGAACTTACATATAAAACTATTTCTGGATTCTTCTTCGTACACAATGTTTCGGTTCTGACATAAGATGTTACCATATACTGTTTTCAAAAGCCTTTTTTCTCTGGTTTCTGGTTTCATTTATATTTGAAGTTTAAATGAGTCTTTAAATCTATTTCTTGTGATACTTGTAGGAACTGCATATTCTCTTTCCTTTTTCTTAAACAAAGCAGCCGGAGGAGAAATTTGTTTCTATCCTATTTGCTTACTTCACCATTTTTCTTATTTGTTTGCTGCAACAATGAAGTTAATGCTACGTATATATCCCTTTGGAAGACTAAAATAAATATCCTCTATTAATTAAAGCAGCAATCTTCCCTGAAAAATTACCTTTCTACCTCACAATTGAGATAAACGATTATTCCCTTCATTGGGGTGGGGAACTAAAGTTGGTATATTATGAAGAGACTGCATTTTTCTGCCTAACGTGCAATACTTCGGGTTGCATATCATGGTATATGTAAATGCGTGAGTAAAGTTCGCATCAAGTTATGTTACTTTGGTGTGCTGAGTTGCTGTAGTATAAAATGGAAACGCTAAATGGGGGCGGGGCATGTTTGCTTTTCCAGCACATTCACAATTATTGAATTAAACTTTTCGGCTTCATTTCAGAAATCTGAACTTCTTTCTTGAAATTAACATTACCGCTAAGCAACCAAGATAATAATTATCTTGCATAGTATTACTAGTGTTCAAACTGCCTAAGATTTTTAGTTATTACATGAAACATAAAACCAATTTTTTAAGCCTTTTAAAATTATCATCAAACTTAAAAAATTATCATCAAACTTAACTATCTTTTTTTTTTTTTTTTTTTTTTTTTTATTTTAATTCAGGTAATGAAGCAAGTCGTGCCTGACCCCCCTCTTACTGCCATCCAGACGCCCAGAACTGAGGAAAGTGGGTTTGCCTTTCCTACCGAGCCTAAAGAGGTAAGAAATCTTTTCACTTACTCTTTTCTTAAAAATTCTAATTGCGATGCTGAGTACTGTATTATTTGTGCTTACCTTCTCCAGTTGCATTTAAAAGTCTTATTCTCTGTTATACAAATAGACTTCAAAAGTAGCAGTTACTTCAGTCGAAAATAAATGTTTCTTAACAGTATTTGAAAGTTTCTCTGACACATTTTTATACTTTTAAATTGGTAAGCTGAATAAAAATATTAAAAATTAATTTAAAATTTGGAGAGAGTTGATTTATGAAGTCTTCAAATTTCGCAAAGAGGGGCTGTAAATTATCTTGAAGGAATTAATGATAAAGTACATAATCTACCGGAAAACGAGGATAAATGTCTTGAACGAACGATTTCAATGTGAAATGATGAACGTTTTACTAATTGACGTAGCTGATTTATTTTCCTCCCTTTTTTAAAAATTCTTTTCTTCCCTCTTTTTAGACAAGATCACATGATTTCGACTTCTAGTTGGTTGCATCCAATATTTTAACTGCTTTAGAAAACACTGAAATTCTAAATCTTGCTGAGTTTAAGTTATGAGTTCAAGATAAGCAGGCGTATATTCATAGGCTAGGCACTGCGTAGCATCGACATGATAAAGCAGAAATTTTGATGATGGATTTTTACGTATATTTATGACTTGCGCAGTGTCATCACATCGTAGGATCGACAATGTGTACGTTCAACACTGGCACATGGACTGAAATTTCCATAACCTAACCAAGGATAATTTGATTAAACTGTTATTTTTAGAGTACTCTCACGGAATTTACTCTGATTGAAATCGACATTGACCGAAACTAGTTTTGAGCTGTTGATCATGTGCGAACAGAAGGGCTGTTAGTCCTGTACCGCATTCCTGAAAATTATGTGATCTGAATTTTCATATCATTTACTATCATTCAGCTGCACATGCTTTATTGCAACAGTCGTTACTTAGTTTTACTTTTAAATGGTGTTTTTCAAACTGATTATCAAACGTCATTTTTCTTAATGAAGCGTATTGTACTCCCTTGATGCGTTAAAACTTAAACTAATAGCTATACAATTGTATTTCCTGTTATCAGTATATACGATGGTTTTGTATTGTGCAGCACAGCTGTGATCATTACCAACTGAGATCCAGTTTACATACCAAGAAATCTCTGATTTATATGATTAAGTATTCCCTTTCTTTGGGAAGGAGCGAGGTTAGTAGTGTAATGATTCTTTGTAAGATTAAACCTAATTTCACTTAAACTAGTTACTTGTTTAACTTTCCTTGGCTGCGGATGAATCATCGCCTCGTCTTACCTTAGACTTCAAGAGCGTAAATTTAATGAAACAAATAAGAAGTTTATTTGTACTTCGTGCCGGAAGTTACAACTAAAACGTAAACAGAATTAAGTCACTGCTTGCTTGATGGCCGAAAATACAACAGCTTTAAATATTTACTTGCAAAAGATAGAAATGAAACCTAATAACCCAGCTCCAAAACAATCGCGACTTCTAAAATGTAAGACTAGGCGACTGTGAAAGCAGAGTTAGAACATACAGCAGCAGTACAGCTAAACCAATCATTCCACAGGTGAAAGCATTGAGAACTGATGGGCTGTGTTGCCAATACTCTCTCTCTAAACTTACATGCATGCTTTTATTTAATCTGCGTATCCGGTGGAGTTGACTGGAAAACTAGAAGCGCAGGAATGTTATGTTTATTAAAATGAACTTTACACCTTATTCAAAATAAAAAACATTAATATGTTTGGTAATTTCATTAAGCTGTGAATTTATAAATAATGTATGTATTCCGTACATATCGAAATTTATATTAAAAATATTGTATATTTTCAATAATATGTTGAAATGCAGAAAGCCTGCTTGGCTTCGTGTACTTTTTATTTAGCATCAGATGCCAGATATAAATTTAGAGCAAAGTCTAAATTACTTTTGCTGCTTGCCTTTATGCGAATCTAATATTTGGGTGTTATTAAGTTATACAGTTTGAATGGTATTTCGATTCTCTGTTGGACCGTTAAGTCATGTAGCAGTTATTTTATAAATGGCATGGTTGTCCGACTTACGTCGCATAATCATGATAAACCGTCGAGGTGATAAGTATTTGACCATTTATTCTCAGCAGTACAAGTCGACAGGTCACGCAGTTCAGTAAATGCACTACTGGAGCTTTGACATCTGAATGGTTCAAATTCTGTTTCCATGTTGAGTATTGTAGGTGGAGATAATATCACCAATTTCTGTCTCTGATCGTTGTAAGGATCTGAAAACCTCGTTTGTCTGTTTTAATGATGCGTCTTTTAATCGTATCTTTAATATAAATAATTTTATTCCAAATCCAATAATTCATTACCGTGTTATTGATCAAGGAATTAACACATTGCCTAATAAACAGAAGGAATTTTTTGAATGGGGGAGATGTAATCTTCTGTATAGAATTGTATATATGTTGTTGTTTTGTTTGGTTTGGCTGTCGTTTAAATAAAGCGAAATTTCTGGCAAGTAATATCATTCCATACTTATGGAACGGCACTCTGATCAGCTTTTTAAGCCATTTGATGACGTGTTAAAATAAATAATGAATAGTATAGGTATTGATGTACATAATTTACAACTGACTGAATCGAACTTGCACTGCTTTGAGAAACTATAAGTGAATTTGTAATCAGATACGTGAATGGATTATGCTTTCATTGCCGGATACGTATCCTTATGTATTTGCTCCATTCCCTGTTGTTAGTAACTAGACTACTGTATAAAAGGAATTGAAGCTTTAATTTTCACATTTCGTTTTCATATTTTGCTTCCTTGCGATGATTATCATTTTCACTTTCACTTCAATTTTTTTTTCTTCAGAATCTGGGGAATTTTCATTGAATTTCAAAGCTTATATGAATGTGGTTTTGAATCTTTAACATCTTAGGCATTTTAAGGCTATTATAGCAAAGCATATGTTAAATGTTGCACTTATGGATGTCAAATTCTGCTGCTGCTGCAGAATGCATTGAATTTTTTTTTTATCTCGAAAACATATTGAGCCTGAAGTACAGAAATTCAGGAGGAAGCTTTTATTAGATAAACTCTCCCTTTCAGTATGAGATAGTGCATTCTGTAATATAATTAGGGTAGCAGAAGAGCAAGATGCATTAGAATTAACCCGTTTGAGGCAGAAAGGGACATTTAAGCAATTAAAGTATTTTTGAACTATATATATATATAGATATGTATTGAACATATGCATTATTTATTAATGGCTGACATGCTTTCCTGCTGTTTGTCAAAATTAGATTATTTTTAGAATTAATAAATGTAATCTCTTCATTACTTCGGAATGCTGAAGTACTGAGTATAAAACTGCGTTGCGCGCACGTAGATTTGCACATTAAACAATTTTATTCCCACAAAGAAAAATAATATAATATGATTTTTGTGGAGTTATTATGAATGATAAACGATTTGTGAACTCATGTTTGCACAACACATTGCTAGAAATACTGCACATTAAAAAAAAAAAAAAAACTGGTTCTAAAAAATTAAAAATTAAGGACAGAAACTGAGGTTTCGTAATGTAAATGAATTAGCCGATTATTTTTGTTTAGAAATGGTAATGTATTAACTAAACTACACCTCATGTCTATTCTCTAAACTGATCTTCTGATAGTATCATCATTGCGTGTATAATTGCGAGGGCATATATAGTTTGCTGTCATTCAGCTCCTGTTTAATGCCATGAAATTTCTAGAAAGTTCTTGATCAAATGTCGTAATTCCATAATTAGCATAGAATAAAAGTTCATAAAGATGTCAAGCATAACTCCAGTTTTTAGAAAACGTATGTTTCTCTTCCAAAAATCATGTAATCTCTTCCTTTCCATATACATGCGTGCACACACACATTGTTGCTAAGAATCAGAGAAGACCTCAGTTGTCATTTCCTGAATTTTAAAGCAAGTCTAGTTTCCATTTGCGAGAAAGCTTGATAAAAATGGTAGCGCCATCTATGGAAAGAAATATGAACTGATGCGTGCTAATGATTCTTAAAAGGCTTTACCTGCGTTGAGTTAATTTTAAGAGGATGCAGAATGCATTAGACTTTCATTTAAGTGAAAAACATAGCAAGTAAAAATTTCTTCTTATTGGAACTCCCGCGTTGTCTTCTGAAGTAAAAGAGGAAATCTTAACTGTATAAAGTTTTCATGATTTTTTGCATTCTATTTCCCTTAGAAAGTGTTCCACGAAAGCATTCCTTCTTTAAGCCGATAGCTTTCGTGTGTTTAGCCTTAATCATTTAACCAGCTAAACATCGCCAATTTACCATTTTCCTTTCCCAAGTAATATTTTGAAAAGTTTCACTATTATCTAAAATTCAATTTACCTGGTACCATGTGATTCCACATCATGTTTTTTTTTTGCTAAAATATATGAATTGCCGTTTGAATATTTGTAATCCTAGCTTGCGGTAAATCACTTTTGCGATAACGTGCCACATTAAACTAGCGGTACATTTTATTGGATTAATTCAGTTATGGCAAAACATACAAGATCTTAAGTTTCATTCCGTTGATTCCAATTGTGATTGAAAGAGCTTTTCGTTTGTAAATAGGCAACAATTTCATTACTGCAAGAAATTTTGGTTAAATTATTTAGAAATACTTGCTTTTTCTTTAAAATATTTATTATTTCAATTAGAATTGACGACTGCTTTATTTGTAACAACCATGGCCTCGAATGTCAAACCTTTGAAAATGATCTTTAGCAAATGCTGATATAGACTAGTTATTCCGCTTTTTTTAACATCGGAGATATTTGGCTGTATTTTCAGGATTGTTTTTGGAAATTAATAAATGTCGTTAACAAATGCGTTTCGCTTACGCAGAATTAAATGCGATCAGCATTTTCTAGTAATTAATATTGTCTTTTGCTTTCATTCTTAGTATTTAACTATTTATTACGTGTATTATTTATTACGCTTAGGCAGATA